AGGGTCCTGCTTGTCCAGTTTGTCCCACCTGGCTTCCGCAGCTCGTTCTCCCCCTGTTCTCCTCATGGAACCTTCTGGTCCAGCTAGGTATTAAAGGGCAGGCCATGTTCCTTTTGGGCAGCTCAGATTTTGAAGAAGTCTTTCCTTGTGCTAGAGTTAGAAGAAATCTTAGAGACCCTTCAGTTCAGTCCCTTCATTTGGTAGAAGAGATGGCTGAGGGCTGGAGAAGTACCATTCCTTCCCCCAGGTCATTCATCTAGATAGTACATAACAGAGCTGAGACTTGAAACCTGGTCATCCGACTCCGTGTTTGATGGTCTTCCCATGGCACCCTGAAATCTGCCTCCTTGAAATTTTTATCCATAGTTCTATCATTCATCTGTAATTTGGGGACTGGCATGGAGGACACCTCTCAAAGGATAAGATACGTGCTCTTTGCTGCCAATCCATTTGGAGGTTTGGGGAGCCTTCCAGAAATGTATGATAGATGATGTCTTTCCAGGAGCATTCTGGTAAACGTTTAACAGCTGACTCCCAGAGGGGAACATGTCCACTTGACATACTTTCAATTTTAATATATTATTAGCCTTTTCTCCATCACTAAATCAGGTACTTAGAGTCCTAGAACCAGAGTGATGACTGTTTGAGTGGAGAGAAGGGCATTCCACCCATCTCACAGACAATTATCCTGAGCTTTGACGAGTTCATCCAAGCAATTACTTGGCCAGTAAGCATTTTCTATGCACCTACCATGCTCAGTTCCCTACCACGCCAGGCCCTGAGGGCAAAACCAAAGGCATGAAGAAGATGCCACCTCTGCTTTCATATAATGACTCCCATTTCTCTGGCAATTTACAACATAGAAATGGTACAGTGGAATGAACACTGACCTGGAGGCCAGAGGATCTGGGTTCAAATCCTGACTCTGATTCCTATCTGTGTGAGCTTAACTTCTTTGGGCCTCAGTTTCCTTATCTAGATGTCCTCGGAGGTCACTGTGATTCCACTTTTCTCATACTAGGAGGTCTATTGGTGTTGAAGGGGCCAAGCATCACCACAGCCATTATCTAGATAAGGAAGCAGGGCCCGGGGAAGCCAGTGGCTTACAGAGGATACCTCAACAAGCTGGATCCAGGAAGCCCAGTCTCCAGTCCCACTACTGCCACCAAATCCAGTGGCCTTTGTTTAAGGACACTGGGAGGCAGGGGCAAGTCAAAGCTCCTTGGGAAACCGTGGGAAGAAGATTGAATCCTGAACTTTTGCCTCTGTCACATATTTCCAGTGTGACTTTGGGCAAACCAATGAATGTCTCTGGGCCCCAGTTCTTCATCTATGAAATAGGGGCATTGAACTGCGTGGTCGCTGAGGTCCCTTTCAGTTCTAAATGTGTGACCCAATAAACAGGTGATGGAAAGAATATGGCACAAGCAAGAGGCATTCCCATTAGACACTAGGGTTGGAGTATGCCAGTTGTTGGGCCCAAGCATATGGAAGAATCCAGAGTCTTCCTTCTCTTTGGTATCCCAAGTGGATTAGCTGTGGTCCTGACTAGAGGTGGGAGCCTGGGATGAATTACCTCTTGATCAGTTTTATAACAGTAGAAAGAACTCTGACTCTGCCATCAGAAGACCTGGGTTCAAATCTCACCTCTGATGTTTACTTATCTGTATGACTTTGGGTAAATCACTTAAAATACCTGGGCCTCAGTTTCCTCATCTGTAAAATGAGGGGGTTGGACAAAATATCTTGCAAGGCTGCTTCCAGCTCTAGACCCTATGATCCCATGATCAGAGAGGGCTTTTTGTTGTTGTTGTTCAGTTGTGTCCAACTCTTCATGACCCCATTTGGCATTTTCTTGGCAGAGATACTAGAGCGGTTTGCCATTTCCTTATCCAGCTCATTTTGCAGGTGAGAAAAATGAGGCAAATAAGGTTAAGTGAATTCCCCAGGGTCACACAGCTAGGAAGTATCTGAGGCCAGATTTGAGCTCACGACAACGATGAGTCTTCCTGACTCTAGGCCCAACACTCTATCCACTGTGCCACCTAGCTTCCCTCAGAGAGTATTAATACCATACATATCTCTTGCCCTTGCTTCTCAACAATCCTGTGAGGTAGGAATTGGTAAGTATCATTCTCCCCATTTTACAGATGAGAAAACTGAAGTGACATGGCTTGCCCAAGGTCACAGAGGTCACAAGTATCAGAGCCAGGATGGGAGCCCAGGTCTATGCTTCTTCCCATTCATTCACGCTCTGGTGCCCTTTCCCGCTTCACAGCTCTAAGGCTTGTAATTATTTTTTTCTACCCAAGCAATGGGGAACAAAAGTCTTTTTGTCTCCTGGTGAGTAAGTGACAAGAGAGCATTGTGGGTCTGGTGCTGTTTGTCAGCTGCACCCTTTGAAGTGGTTCTTCCCTGAGTTCTTAGAGGGGCTTGGATGGGGGTGGGTGGGTGGAGCGCCCATTTCCTCCCCCAAACAGCCGCCCACCTGCCCACAAGCTCTAGCCCCCTCTCCCTCCCCACCTAGATCCTCAGAGCCCTAACTTGAGCAGCGTCCCCACCTCCCCATACAGCCTGCATTCGAGGAAACATGGCAGAGGGCTGGGAAGGGGTTGGCCTTTGGGTTGAGTTGGGTTTTATTTCTTTATTTTTCTAGCAGGATGGTTTCTTAGGCTTGAGGGCCAGAGCTGGTGGCTTGTCTTCAAGCTTCCTGTCTTGGTCTTCCCCACCCGAGCTAGGATTGACCCATTTCCCAGCCCCTGGGCTCATCCCACCCCATTTTCATCAGGACTCTGCAATTAGGCCCCATGTGATGGTAATACTATAATATAACAGTAATCGTGGATATTTACACGGCACTTCAAGGTCTATAGAACATTTTACCTACATGCCCTTATTAGATCCTCACTACAACCCTTGGAGGTAGGTCATCCACGTTTTATTAACCCCACTTTGCAGATGAGAAAACTGAGCCATAGAGAGGTTAAATCCCTTGTCCAAGGTTACACAGCTGATAATTGTCCTAGGTTATTCAGGCTTTAGATAGTGAGTTAGAAGGAGATGTGGCTAACATATTGCCACCATAAAAAGATATTGGGCAGAAACTTTACACGAGGCAAGCTGTTTTTGGAGGCATCCTTTTGCTGTCCAGCAGAGTAGGTGCTTAATAAATGTTTATCTATCAATTGATCATTTGTTATTGCCTTAACATTTAAGTGACTCCACTGCCCTAGGCCATTTCTTTTCACAGGGGATTCAAAGATCAGAAGAATTGCTATTTCTATAGCCCAGAAATGTTTAAGAAGTGTAAGAGGCCTCAGAGTCTATCTAATCTAAACCCTTTCTTTTACAAATAAGGAAACTGAGGCCTGAGGGAGTTGAAGTAACTTATCTGATGTCATACAGATGGTAAGTGCTGGGGTTTAAACCAAACTCCTGTGACTCCTTCCTGATGTTCCAAAGCATGACCTCACAATATAAGTAGTTAGTACAAGAACCACTGACCCATTTTACAGATGAGGAAATGGTGAATAAAGTGAGGTTGAGCTCTGTGACCCTACCCAAGTAAGTATGAAAACCTCAAAGCCACTAGTTTTTTTTTTTCCCTCAAGGAACTCACAAGCAGAAGGCATGGAAGAAAAGTAAACTGAAACAATGCGGGAAACGTAACTCAGAGGTCTATCTGGCCTTGGTAGGAAGGTTTGGGTTCAATTCCTGGCTTGGTAGCTTACTAGCTCTGGGATCTTGCAGGAGTGATTTCAAGCCTCTGGGACTTTTCATCTGTGAAATTAAAAAGCTGGACAAGAAAAGTACATTTCTAACATTTTCAAGTGTGAGAGCCTCATTTACCATCAAAATATTTTTTGGACCACCCTCCCCCATGAGAGTATTTGTCCTATTAATATCTGTTGATTTTAAAATAAACAATAATAAAAAAGCTACTATGAATTTTTTGATGCTTCTAAATTAATCTGTACTTTCTTCATCATAACAGCATCGACATACATTTGAAAAAGAATAATAGGTATAATTCTTTGGGTCTATGCAAGGTGTGGCTGCTTATTAGATACACTGAGTCATTGAGAGAGATGACTGGTGATTTACAGGTTTGGGGGAAGCCCAAAAGTTTCACCGTGAGAGATAGTGTTGAATCCAACTTGTCAGTCTCAAGATTTCAATGCATTGAGTTAAAAAAAAAAAACCAAAAAACAAAAAAACCCTGCTTTCATAGATGTGGTACTTCATAGCTCTCTATTGGGGAGTTCTGGGGCCAGAAAGCAATCCACCCAATGTTCTTTGACTGACTGTGAACTTCATAGTCACCTCACAATCGTCACAAAACGTTTTTACTAAGTTATTTGTTATTTACTAAGCTATTTGTTAAGCCGTTGCCTCTAGGATCACATGCACACATTAAGGCATTTATTAAGTGCTTACCCTGGACCCGGTACTGTGCTAAGCCCTGGGGAGGCAGGCCCTTGTCCTCTCCGCTTACCTTCCACGGACCAGTCATGTATCCTGTACGTACCTGGTTATTTTCATATTTAGACAAACGTGGTAGAACGCAATCTTCTCAAGGACAAGGTCAGTGGGGATTTTTGTTGTACTTTTTTCCCCCTAATTTTTGATGTTTGTGGTTTTTTTGTTTGTTTGTTTGTTTGTTTTTGCCTTTGTATTCTCCTCACTTAGCACAGTGCCTGGCATGGTCTTGTTCAGTCAATCAGTTATGTCCATCTCTATGTGATCTTGTCAAAGATACTAGAGTGGTTTGTCATTTCCTTCTCCAGTATGAACCCATTTTACAGATGAGGAACTGAGGCAAATAGGGTTTGAGTGACTTGCCCAGGGTCACACAGCTAGTAAGTATTTGAGGCCAGATTTGAACTCAGATATTCCTGACTCCAAGCCCCATCCACTTCACCACCTAACTCTTAGGTGCCCTTAATAGATAATTGTTGACTGACGTTGCCCTGTTACTCCTTTCTTCTAGATGTGTTCTCTCCCTCTGGACCTGTTAATTATGCTTAATCAAGACCATAGGACATTGCCATAAGGGTAGGGACACAGCACCTGCCCTCCCCACTCTCAGGGTCTCCACTATGGCGCAAAATTGAAGACTCCCAGCAGCTCATCCAAGCCATTTGGGCATTCCAGTGGTCTAGATGGGTTCTGGGTGGCCCTAGCTGGAGGAGGAGGAGGTGAATGGGAAGGTAAGTGAGGGGAAATAAGGGCCCCCTGGGTGGTGGTTGGTCTTTGGGCCCTGAGATCCCATTACAAAGAACAGTAGTAGATTAAGGTGGGGCAGAGGTAGGGGTGGGTGGAGGAGATTGTGGAGGCCTCGAATGCCAAGGCACTTAGCCACAATGGGCATATTCGTTGTATTCACACAACTGCCTTTTCTTTCTCTCTTTTCCTCCCTTCACTCTCTCCATCAGATGGGGCCTCCCTTTCCCAGTAGTGACATTTATTTTTACAATTTAAGCAAGTCTAAATATTTTTTTAACAAGGTAAATTCCTTCAATCCAAACTGGCCCCCCTGGAAGGGCTTTAAATTTGCCAAAGGAAGGCAGAAGCCAGAGCTGTCATCTGCTTTTCAGCTCACTCCTCTGCCTAGGTCCCCAGTAGAGCCCAGGCTTTTGGTTTCAGCTTATTAACACCAGCTTTGTCTAACTGGCCTGGCCTGGCTTCTTTAGCTAAGGAAAAAGCCAGTGGCCTGTCTCTGCTCACTGACCTTAAAGCTCTTCCCCTGGGCTACCCCTGTCTTCCCAAAGCGACCACCAGGTAACCTGGCCTAGGCCAGATCTAGGGGCAGAAGAGAAGCAGTGGATTTAGTGGAAAGAGCAAATAGTATCAGGTTTCTAATGCTGCTTCTTCAGGTACTCTCTGTGTGGGTTGTAACCTTAGGCAAATCCACTTTCAGTCTCAGTTTCCTGGGCAATAAAATGGGGAGATTGGATGAGCTGATCTCCAAGATTTCTTCTAGTTCTGATTCTAATATCCTAGAATGTTAGATCTGGAACTTAGAGTTCCAGGAATTTAGAATAAAGAAAGTTTGAATGTAGAATCCCCGAGGTGGAAGGGACCTTGGGGATCACCTGGTTAGACCATCTTGTTTTACAGATGAGGAAACTGAGGCATGATAAGTGGAAGTAAATGGACCAGGACCACACATCAAGTTCTTAGCAAAGCCAGCACTAGAACTGGGGCCTCCCCACTCCCAGTCTGGTGTTCTACCCTGCTACCAGGGAAGCTGGACAGGCTGTCAAGGTCAAGGGGTAATGATGGATGTGGGCATTTCAGGCCTCAGTCTGGGGATTAGAGAGGACTGGACAATTCTGCGTTCTAAGGCCCTCCCTGCTGTGACATCCTGTGTTCTAAGGACCCTCCCAGCTCTGACATTTTGGGTTCTAAGGCCTTCCCAGCTCTGACATCCTGTTTTCTAAGGACCCTCCAGCTCTGACATTGTGGGTTCTAAAGACCCTCCAGCTCTGACATCTAAATTCCTCCCAGCTCTGATGGTCTATGTCCGAAGACTCCCAACTATGACATGTTCCAGGATCCCCTCCTGTTCTAACTTCTACATCCTAACATTCTACACTCTAAAGACGTTCTAGTGCCGACATTTCATCGAATGTTCCTAGGATTCAGAGGACCTTGGCTACTACCTGCTCCCCTTCAACTGTTCCACAGGCTTCATATATTCACTAGTTCTGGACTTGGGATCTGCCCCTGCAGGAGATGCTGGGGTGGGGCTTGGGGGTCAAAAGCTGAATGCATTCTCAGGATCAACTTGTCTGCCCTGTTGGAAAAGCTGGCCACTAAATCTGAAGCAGACTGAGCTCTCACAATCGGAGCTCCCACCAGTTTGTCTCAAGGGCTTCTGGTCACTGCAGGAGGTGGTTAAGGATTATTCTGAGGCTCCCCTCTGCCCTGGTGGTCCCAGATGAGGAGAGAGAAGTGCCCCCAGCATGCTTGGCACAGGCTGTGACCTTATTAGTTAGAAAAACATGTCGCCTTCTCTTCCCCTTGTAATTCTTATCCACCAATCCACCTTTTAATTCAATTTCCCTCAAAAAACAATGGTGTAAATGAGGGGGAAACAAGATTTTCTAAAACCCCAGAAAGTTTTGCAAAAACTCCTGTCAAAAATGCTTTCCCATCCCCCCACCCCCAAGTGAAAATCCAAGAACTTTTCCCTTAAATCCCCAGTCCCAGCTCAGTAGGCTTGTTCCTCTGTTCCTCTTCTTTCCAGATCTGTATACAGTGCACCAGGAGCTACCATCACCTATGATCCCAGGAGAGTTCACAGCTACTTGCCTCCACCCAACCTCCTGGACATTGGGAGGGGTCAGTATCCCATCTCCTCACTCCTTGTCCTCGCAACAGAGGCAAGGGATGGAGGAGGATGGTCCTCTGGGGAGAATCTCATTGGTCTTTTGAACTACTAACTTCTCTGAAATCAAAGGAATATTGAGTGTTTCTCCACATCTGGCAGAGCGCTGGGAAAGAGCTCTCCAAGAACTTGGGATCATAGAATTTCAGAGCTAGAAGGGATCTGGAGGTACCCTGTCATTTGGAGAAGGACCTTAGGACATAGAATATCAGAGCTGGGAGGGGCCTTAGAACATAGGATGTCAGAGTTGGGAGGGGCCTTAGAACAGAGAAAGTCAGAGATGAGAGGACCTTTAGAACAGAGAATGTCAGAGCTGGGAGGGCCTTAGACCACAGAATGTCAGAGCTGGGAAGGCCCTTAGAACACAGAATGTCAGAGCTGGGAGGGCCCTTGGACCACAGAATATCAGAGCTGGGAGGGCCCTTGGAGCACAGAATGTGTACAAATTTCTATACTCGGAAGAGGGAGGGGCCTTAGAACAGGGAAAGTCAGAGTTAGAAGGGTCCTTAGAACGTAGAATCTCAGAACAAGGAAGGCCCTTAAAACACATGTCAGAGCTGGGAAGGACGTTAGAACACAAAATATTAGGCTTGCAATAGATCTTAAACCAAAGAATTGTAGAATTATGGGAGACTTTAGAAATCATCTAGTTCAACCACCTCATTTGTACAAAAGATGAAAAGCAAAGAGCAGAGAAGGAAAGTGACTGCCTCAAAGTCACACAGTAGATTCATGGCAGAGCCCAGACTAAGAGACCAAGGATGACTTTCACTAACCACTGCCCTGAGAACATAGTAGGGTCTACCCAGAGCTCCTCTGGGCAGGCCTGCACCCACTCTCTTTTGTTCCATCAGGACAGGTGACTCTGGCTTTAAGACCTCAGGCCATATGGGCTTTTAAAGTGTTTATTGAAGAGTCTCACTTATTAGCCACAGGAGCTCAGTGACACCCACTCCTCTGTGGCTCTGCTAGAGGTTTCCAAGCTTATGTCTGAATCAATATGTTGGTTACACAGTCAACCGCCAATTCTTAGGTAGGTGGGTAAGGACTAAAACCAATGACTTTTTCTTGGTCGTGCCCAACTTTCTGCCCTCTCCTCTCCAAACCCTTCTCCTCCACCTTCTGGATCTGTTCCCCTCCTCCTTAGGACCTTTGTAGGTAACACTCTTGAGCTGCAGAGAAGTGTTTTAGAAGTTCTCTTGGCCTAGGTGTCAGGCAATCTGGGTTCAAATCCTTGTCCAGACATTGAACAGCTGTACGACTTTGCAAAAGTCATATCTTTCAAAAGCCCAAAGAAGAGTGATTGTCCCTCACCCACCCCTTCCTTTCCTGCCAAACTGGCCTATGAACTGTTCACCATACTCAACATTTCATATCCCATTTCCGAGCCTTTGCCTGGCCCGTCTGCCATGCTGAGATTTGTCCTTCTTTATCTGCCCCCTAGGAATCCCAAACTCTCTGCAATGTTTAACTCAGATGGTGCCTTTTCTGACTTCCCCAGATGTCAGTGCTGTCAACCCCAACTCCCAGAAATTTCTTTGTATTTATTTATTTGCTCATTGTATCCCCCCAGTAGAACATAATCTTCTTGAGGGCAGGAACCATTTCATCTTCGCCTGTGGAGCCCTATTGCCTCCCACAGTCCCTGGAAGCAGTAGGTGCTTATTAGGCACTTATTGAATTGATTCCTCTTTGGATTTCAAAGAAACTGTTCTGGTCCAAAGATATCTGTTTTTAAAAAAAAATCTGATCTCATCCAAGACTGAATTAATGGAGGTCTTGTGTGTCCAGAGCAAGGACTACTCTGACCGCATCTGGGGTATTGTATTCAACTCTGGGCACCATGTGGTCTTAAGCCAAAACTCAGGATTCATACAAGCTGGATTCGATCTTGGGGGCTTCTCAATAATCATTTTGTGCCCCTATGCTTCTATAGTATAACCTTCGGTGGGTCTCAGGAGCACTAGAGTCAAGACCCTTTCCTCTGATAAACTCCACCTTCCTCAGGGACTTTCAAAATGATAGCACTGCCCTAGAGCTGAAGGCTTCCAACAAGAGAAAAGAACTCAGGGATGCTAAAAAGTCAGCTGTGGACCTTCACAGTCCACAGAACTCACCGTACCACAGACAGGCAATGTCTGGGTTGGAAACTCTGCCTCTTGGTTCTGTCTCCAAATGCTCTTTAGATCCATTCTCTAATTAGTTCACTAACTCATTCACTTGGCCAAGGAACTTGGTGTAGACCAAAAACTCTGCGATGACCCCCACTTCCACCATTCCTTCTGCTATAGCTCCCAGACCATCACTCGTCACCACTGGCCACTGCCATCCCTGGAGCTCTTTGGTTCCTCCTCTCCTGTGGATATGTAGGCTTCCCTCAAGAGACAGAAATTTGCTTTCTGGGGATAGCCTCTCTCATCTCAGTGTCTCTTCAGCTTTCCCTCTGTCTTGCTTTCTCTCTGATTCTGCTCTCCCCTTTAAAGGGCAGGTCCAATGCTGTAAGTAATCAATTATCCTTAATGTGATGTCAATGGGCCAAGATAACACCAGTTTGATAGAATCCTGTACCCAAAATCAGGACGACCCGAGTACAAAACTGTTCTCAAACACTTACTAGCTGTGTGACCCTAGCCACATCACATAGCTGCTATCTGCCTCAGTTTCCTCATCTGTAAAATGGAGATAATAATAGCACCTACCTTAACATTCATAAAGTATTTTGCAACTTAAAGCACTATATAAATGCTATTTATGAAGGCTAGATATTAGTAGAAGTTATTATTTTTATTATAAATGCTAACTGGGACTAGGTCCTTATTGCTAAGTATTATTACAAATTATCTTCATTATAAATGCTGACTATTATCTGGGTTAACTGTGTTGGTGTGAGCTGGGCCTTGAAGATAGCTAGGGATTCCAAGAAGAGGAAATGGAGGGGGGCAGCCTATGCAGACACACAGGTGGAAGATGAACTGTTATGTGTGGGGAGAAGCAAGTAACTTTTGCCATGAAAGAGAAACAAATGGGGAGGATTCAGAAGAGCTCACCCAGTGTTCCCCCTGAACGTACTCTCCTGGAGAGCATTCACACAAGGCTGACCAGCATAGAGAAGAGACTGGATACCATGAAGGGTTGCTTGAAGGAACTGAAAACATTTAGCATGCAGCAAGGAAGTGCATGACAGTCAAGCATTTGAAGGACCATCATGCGTAAGGGCCACAATCCAGTCCAAACCATTTCAGCCTGGTCCAAACTGGCTCAATCCAGTTTAAACTGGTCAATCTGCTCCAAAATGATCCATTCTGGTCAAATCTGGTTCAAACTAGTCCAAACTGGTTCAATCTGATCTAAACCAGTACAGTTCAGTTCTACATACAAAAATTTTAAAAGACATGATTTTTTTATTTCAGGAGGCTAACATTTTATGCCCACCATGGGGTGACATTTATCCTGGGAAGTATAGTCCTATATGGGATTTTGTGGGGGGAAAGGGAGAAAACTGGACACATGGCTTTTTCAGAAAATTTGAAGAGATAAGACTTTTCTACCTGAGAGGATCATCAAAGGCTTAAAGGTACCTGTGTGTGGGAGAGTATGGGGGACACAAACCCCAGTTCCTGGCTTCCCATGTGGGGAGATCCTACTCCCAACCTGAGGCAGAGGCTGGGAGAGGGGGTAGGGATGAAAATGGCAACATGGAAAAACCAGCTGGCTTGAAGATTCTTCCCAAGGCAGAGGAGGTGGGACTGGCTCTCCACTAGAGATTTCTTTGTAAACTGAAATCTTCATGATTTATGACTAATCTTTGGGTTCAGTCCTTTAACCAGTTCTGAAATCACCTAACTTTGCTATTGTTCAGACTATGTCCCTCCACCTTGTTCACAAGAATAGTACAAGAGACTATCAGATACTTTACTGATATCTAGATTGTATCTTCATATTCTCCTGATCTACAGGGAAGAAAGAAAGAAAGAAAGAAGGAAAGAAAGAAGGAAAGAAAGAAAGAAAGAAAGAAAGAAAGGAAGGAAGGAAGGAAGGAAGGAAGGAAGGAAGGAAGGAAGAGGGAAAAGGAAAGGGTCTTTGTGATTACTGTTTCCTTTTCTAGGTGTTCACTGACCCTCCCTTTAATAATATGTTCTCAAATTTTGCAAAGAATCAAAATCAAACCTTTTGGCTTATAGCTTGCAGGCTCCATTTGCCTCCTTTTTCTGATAATTGGGACAACCCTTTGATTGGACCAGGCACCCTCCTTACTCTCTGATTGGACCAGGGCACAGCCCCTCATTCTAACTGGGCAAGGAGATGCCTCTTTCACACTGTGACAGGACCAGGAAGCCTCCTTACCACCAGACAGGCCAGGAGTGGCCTTTCCTTTCCTCATCCTCCATTAAGGCACCAGCTTTGCCCAGGAGAGCCTATGGCTCATGAGGGGCAGTGTCAAGTAATTCCAGAGCATGGAACAGAGCGTGTTTTCATGCCCATTCATTCATTAAAAAATCTCCCTCCTTCAAAAACAGGCTGCTTCCAGTTCTGTTCTTCTCTTCCATCTTGAGATGTTTCATCTTGATCCCATGTGGGGCAGTTCTGCAGCAGAGCTCCCACTGACAGCAGAGAACCGGAGGGGAGCCAAAATGAGCAGACCAGATTGGGATCTGAGCATCCACACATGGGGGCCAGAGATCAGAAGATTTGCGAGGAGCCGGGGCCCCGTGAAGGGAGCAGCAGAGAGGAAAGGATGAAGTGAGAAGACAGATGCTCTACCCAGACTCAAGTCCCATGGTGGGGAGGGGGAAAGCTTCCTCAAAGCATACTCTCTCCCCATAGAGATAGGGAGACCCCTAGCATGTTGTGGGGTTGGGATCTAGAGAGACCATGCTGGGCAGGAGGTGGCATGGGTGCAACAAGGGATCCAGTTGTGCAAGAGAGAGAGAGAGAGAGAGAGAGAGAGAGAGAGAGAGAGAGAGAGAGAGAGAGAGAGAGAGAGAGAGAGAGAGAAAGTGAGGGCCCTGGATAAAGGGATAAAAGGTACCCCAGGTAGCTTTACCTACAGGCAAGATAAACAATATATGAGAACAATTTGAGATTTGGGGGATGGGGAGGGCAGACAGACCAATCATCTCTTCAGTGAATGGAAAATCCCTCCACCAAAGCAGATGGGCAATTGTCTTGCTCATTAGACTTACATGTGGCACTTCCCCATGTTGACCTCTCTGAAGAGTTTGACCTCGTTGACATTCCCTCCTCCTGGATACCCTTTCTTTCCTTGGGTTTTTTTTCAATTCTGCTTTCTCTCACCACTTTCCCCCTCACTGTCTCTAATGGGTCTTTCTCAGTTTCCTTTGCCGAATCATCATCCACGTCTCACTTGCTGTGTAGGTGGACCCCAAGCCTCTGACCTGGGCTCTCTTTCTCTTATCTTCTTTCTTGGGGATCTCATCTGTGCTCAAGGGTTAATAAATAAATGTTTATTATCTGTTGACTGAATGGATTCAGCTCTCATCACTATGCCAATGACTCCCATTTCTACATAAACATTAAGTCACCTTCCTCTTGACCTTCAGTCCCGTGTCTCCATGCTGGTTATTTATGCTTCCATGTCCCATTGGCGTCTCAACCTCAACATGTCCCAAATAGAACTCATTGTCTTGTTCCCTAAGCCTACCCCTCCTCCTCACTTCCCTGTTTCTGACCATGCCAGCACTGTCCCTCCAGGCACCCAATTTTGCAGCCTTGGAGTTCTCCTCAGCTCTTCACTTTTCTTTCCTCCATATATCCAATCAGTCACCAAGTCCTGTCATTTCTATCTCATCACTATCCTTCACATGTCTCCTCTCTAGTCTATAATTAGAGTCAGTGTTGGGCGGTTGAAAAAGAGCTAGGCTTGCAGTGGAGGAACGTGGGTTCACATCTTGGCTCCAGCACTGACCAGCTGCTGCCCCTAATTCAGTCCCTCATCACCTCTGGACTGGGCTGTTGCAATGATCTTCCAAGTCAGTTTTCTATAACCAGCCTCATCTCTTTCCAATCCTTAACAGGTCTGCCAAAATGATATTCTTACAGCAGAGGGCTGACCGAGTACCTCCTGAGCACAAGAAGGTTGGTAACCCCTTAGCATTTTTAGAAGAAAAATACAAACACATCAGGATCATAGATTTAGAGCTAGAAGTGTGTTTGTGGGGGGGCAATTGGAGGGCAGATGACCCCCACCCCTATTATTTGAGGACTGCTATTGGTTTGCACTCAATTTTCTCTTCCCCAGGCTAAATAATCCGAATTTGGAGATTTTAGAAAATCATAGAATGTCAGAGCTGAGTCTGAATCCTGACTGTCACCCACTGCCAGTGTGATCTAGAGCAAGCCTGGACCTTAGTCTCCTCCCCTGTAAACAAGAGGGGTGCATTCTGTGTTCTCCCATCGGATCCCTATACTGATCACTAATCTCTAATCTCCTCTCTAATTCTATCTTTGCTCCTAGGTTCCTATTTTAAAGGTGAAGAAACCTAGAATTCAGAGAAGTACAGTGACCTACCCAAAGCCACACAGCAAGTTAATGCCAACCCTCAGTCACCAACCCCCAGCACCCAGCTTTGGAAGAAGAGCTGGAATTGAAGCCTGAGATCCTGCGTTTGAATTCTGGGTTACCTCAGCTCGCCTCTCTGGGCCTTAGTTTCCCTTCACGTAAAATAAGAAGGTTAGGCTAGATGGCCCCTAACATCACCTTGAGCTCTAGAACCGTGGTTCCTAAGTGGGAAACCATGTGCTGCATCACTGGCAATCATTCCTTTATTCTGTTTTATTTAGCTGTTTTCATGGATTGTATTTCTCGGGGAGCTCAGTTGGGAGCATGTTGGGGTTTTGTACGATGTGTTGAAACAAAATTTATCAATAAAAACAGGGAGAGGAGAGAAAAAACTTCTGGGTCTGAAGTTCCAGTGTTTTTTGTAGAATGGCTCTTCCCTCTTCTTTGCCCCCACCCCCTTTTCATGATGTTTCACCAAATATTTCTTCCCTTAATCCAAACCATTGTTTTTCCAGGGTGAAATTTAAATCAAAGCCACATGTTGCCCTCCCTAAACAGGAGCGTGTTCTGGGCAGACAATAGGGAAACTCATGGGAGACTAAGCCGGGACTCTGTTACTGGGAGGACCACCAGGAAACCCTGGCTACGGGGCCTCAGTGGAGCTTGGGCCGGCCAGAGACATCAGGATTTTCCAAACAGGGGTTTGAATGCAGAGCCAAGGACTATCCCGGGAGGCCTGCCTTGGCAGAAGTAGCCTCTCACCTTCCCTCCCCTGGGCCAGTGGGCATCCTGGCCCCGGTGTGCAGGGAAGAGAAGGTGGCCCATCATTCCCTGCTCGGTGCTAGCCCTGGCAGGGCTCCATCGTGAACCTACTGGAATAGGACTCTGCCTCCCGGGCATAGGGAAGAGAACAAGGCTTAGTCAGGTCCTGGCTGCCCCACTTACATACTGTGTGACCTTGAACATGTCATTTCCCTTCTTTGACATTCTGTTTCTTCATCTAAAAACTGAAGGCTTGAACTAAATCATCTGGGAGGTCACTTCCAACTCTCCATTTATGGCTCTGTGGTTAGCTGGCCTCTCTGGCCCCTTCTACCTCTAGAAGGGGTCCTGGGGGTTCTTCCCAAATCCCAAGTCACTTCTCTCTGGGACTCCCCCTGGTTCCTATGCTTGGGATATCCTGCTCACCTCCTCTGCTTTGCTGAACTTCTACCAAAAGTGCAACTCAGATACCACCTCTTCCAGTTGACAATGACCTTTCTCCAACCCAGGACCTCACAGAATACCTTTGCTGTATGTTATATTGTATTATATGTTATATGTTATGTTATATTATGTTATGTTACATTATGTTACATTGTATTATATTATATATCATACTATGTTACATTACATTACATTTTATTATATTATAGTATATTAGATTAGATTAGATTAGATTAGATTAGATATTAAGTTCCCTGGGCTTTGTACATCCTGTGCCATCCCCTTAGCCCTAATGTCATGCAAATAAGCTTGGCGCTTGGTAGAGACTATTTAGAGATTCTAAACCAACCACCTCATCTTACAGAGGAGGTAACTGACTCCCAGAGAGAGGAAGGAACTTCTCTGAGGGTACAGAACTAGGAAGGGAAGAGTCAGGGACGCTAACCCAGGTCCTCTGATCCCAAATCCAGGGCTCTTTCCTCTACACTAAGCTGCCCTTGAATTTATATTGCAATTGGAGAGACACTCTCCAATGCCTCATAGAGGTGTGAACAGTCATCTTTACTGAAAACTGTGATGAGGAAAGAACTTTCAACAGCTACTTAAGAAACTGAGAGGTAGTTTGTGGAGCATATAGAAAGCCATCTCCGGAGCCAGGAAACCCAGGGTCCAAGTCATGCCTCTGACCCATGATGGGTGTGTGACCCTGAGCTAATTCTCATGATTTAGTCATGATTTAGGGACCATAAATCTCGAAGGTGCCAAACTGCACCAGTAGCTGGGAGCTCCCTATGCCAATGAAATTGGAATTCCAGTCCTTGTTTCTACTTTAAAAAGAATGTTGGGAAGGGAGGGAAAAAGAGAGGGAGAGGCCAGGCTGGCAGAGAGAGAGAGAGAGGTGGCCCAGGGGCAGTAGAAAGAAGAATGAATTTGGAGTCTAAGGATTAGATCTAAGCTTTCAGCTCTGCTGCTTAAGAACTGTGTGACCATGAGCAAGTCACTTCCTTTCTCTAGGCCTCAGTTTCTTCCTTTGTAAAATTAGGGGGAGGGAAGGAGGTGAGATTCATCCCTTCCAGTTACAGATCTGTGATGCTATTGTCTTCTGGCTGTCACTGAGGGGAGAAAAAACGAGAAGAGGCAGGAAGTGAGGTGGGGGGTGGGGGAGAGAGGGAATCTGGGGAACAAATGAGCCGGAGAACCCTTTTTGTGCCAGGTGTATGGGAGGTCCTTTCATGGCACGTGGGGATGGAGGGGTGGAAGTAGGGGCACAGGAAGCTGGAGAAGGCAACTCTGTCAGTGACCTCACAGCCCCTTCTCTCTCTCTTGTTTCCTTTCCTCTCTGTCTCACTGTCTCTGTCTCTGTCTTTGTCTCTGTCTGTCTGTCTGTCTGTCTGTCTGTCTGTCTGTCTCTCTCTCTCTCTCTCTCTCCTTTCCTCCCTGTCTCTCTCTCCGTCTCTCTCTCTTTGTCTCTGTCTCTCTCTGTCTCTGTTTCTGTCTCTGTCTCTATCTCTTCCCCTGTCTCTCCTTTCCTTTCTGTCTCTCTGTCTGTCTCTGTCTGTCTGTCTCTATCTCTCTGTCTTTGTCTTTGTCCCTGTTTCTCTCTCTATCTCTCCCCCTCTCTCTCATTTCCTTTCGTCTGTCTCTGTCTCTCTGTCTTTGTCTTTGTCTCTGTCTCTTTCTCTATCTCTCCCCTCCTTTCCTCTCTGTCTGTCTCTGTCTCTCTCTGTCTCTGTCTCTTCATCTCTCATTCCCAGGGCTTCCCCTCACCCGGCTTCTTTGCATAGCCTACCTCCCTAGGTGGATCCTTCACTGCCTGGGAGGAGAGTTTGGAGGAAGTTCGTGGGGGAAAAGAGAGAGACGCCCGCATGTGTGTGATGTATGAAGTGCTATACACGTTAGGTCTTATGTGGGTTATTTTGGAATATCAGAGGGTTTAAGGCCAGAAGGGACCTTACATATCTTCTAGTCCAACTTCCTCATTTTGGAGATGAGAAAAGTTAGGCCCAGAAAGCTGAGCGACTTCCTCCTGTCACAATTAGTAAGAAGCTGGGATGAGAACATCAGGTCATCTAAACTGACTCCACCTCCCTTCTTTCTTCCCTTCCCTTCCCTTCTTTTCTTTCTTTTTATTCTCTGTCTCCCTCCCTCCTACTCTTTCTCTCTGTCTCTGGCTTTGTCTCTCTCTGTCTCTCCCTCTCTCCCTTCCTCTCTTTCTCTCTCTGTCCATCTCTCCTTTCATCTCTTTCTCTACCTCCCCCCTTCCTCCCCCCTTCTCACTTTCTCCCTCCTTCTCCTATATTGTATAGGTTTTATCTAACCCCTCCCCCAAAAGCTTGTACAAACCCAAGTCTGCTGACCATCAGAAAAACCCTCCCTGAGGCTCCCCTTTGGGAAGGCATCAAACAATTCCCCTTTTAGCTGGTGTCACCTTCCTTCTGGACTTTTCCAGTCTGCATGACTCACAGGGAAGGAGAGGACAGAATTGGGATGATCCTTGGTACCCAGGGCTCCTGGCTATGCCAATTTTTCTTTCCCTTTGAAACTAAAAGGGTTGACTTCACATTTCTAAAGCTTTAATTTACAAATAACCACAGTAACTTACATTTTTATAGTGCTTTGAGGGTTGCAAAGAGCTTTTCTCACAACAACTCTGTGAGTTAGGCAGTTTAATTGTCATTATTATTCCCATTTTATAAATGAGGAAATTGTGGCTCGGAGATGTTTTGTGACTTCCTAGAAGAGGTCGGACCTTGAGCTGAGCCTTGGAGGTTGAGGAAGAATCAGTCAGAGAGAGAGGAAAGGAAGAGAAGGCAGACAGGACCTTCCAGTGTGAGAAATAGGAGGGAAAACTCAGAAGTTTTCCTGGAGAAAAAAAAAGTCAGGAACAGTGAGACCAAGCTAGTTAGAGAAGAGGGTGGGTGCATGGGAGCTAACCCCCTCAACCCCCATGTACTTGCTCCCAGTTCTCCCCTCCAAGAAACCTCCTTCCTTCAACTATTCAGCTGGATTCTCTCCCCTGACCTTTAAGAGGCCCAATATGCTTTTGAGGGATGATCTTGAATGTCACCCCAAACATTTCCTCTTCTCTGGCCCTGCCCCTCTGGTGTACAGCCAAGTGTTGTGGCCTTGGGCACATCACTTCCCCTCTCAGCCTCAGTTTCTTCATATTGAAAAATGTGGCTACCCTTTGACCAGCAATAGCACTTCTAGGGCTGTATCCCAAGGAGATCATAAAGATGGGAAAAGGACCCACAAGTATAAAAATACTTACAGCATCTCTTTTTGTGGTGGCAAAGAATTGGAAATTGAGGGGATGCTCATCAATCGGGGAATGGCTGAGCAAGTTGTGTTATATGAATGTAATGGAATACTGTTGTGCTATCAGAAATGATGAGGCAGACTTCAAAAAACTTGGAAAGGCTTACATGAACTGATGCAAAGTAAAATGAGCAGAACCAAGAGAATATTGTACACAGTAATCGTCACATTATGGGATGACTGACTTTGATAGACTTGACTATCAGCAACTTAACTATTCAGCAACCCAAGAATCTAAGACAACTCCAAAAGATTCATGATAGAAAATGCTATCCACACCCAGAGAAAGAGTCTGAATGCAGACAGAAGTATACTATTTGCTCTCCTTTTCCTTTGTTTTTTTTTGTTTTGTTTTGTTTTATTGCTTCATTCTTGTGGTTCCTCCCATTAGCTCTAATTGTTCTTTACATCATGACTAATGGGAAAATATGCTTAACATGGATGTATATGTAGAGCCTATATCAGATTGTCAGATTGTATGCCGTTGGGGTTGGGGGGAAGTGGGAGGGGAGGAAAATTTAAAACTCAGAATCTTATGGAAGTGAATGTTGAAAACTAAAAATAAATTTAAATTAAAAAAAATGTGGCTAGTAAGACTTTGGTGAGAGAGAGGTAGTGTGGCCGCACTGAGCAATGAGCATCAGACTCCTGTCCAACTGTGTGCTTGGGTTTGAGCCCTACTTACCAAGAACACATCATGCAGTCTTGGGGTTCTTAACCTTTTCGGTATCATAGGCCCCTTGAGCTGACTATGATCCCCTTCTCAGAATCATGGCTTTAGACACATATAATAAATGCACAG